CCACCACATCTAAGAATCAGTTAGCTGTTATATATTAATTGTTTGATTTTGGGTTCAGATGCACTAACTCTTACCCTAAACACATAGACCTATTATTTACAGCTAAAGACAGCACCATCTTAGCATCTGTTGGAAGTTGCCATGATATTGATCATGTGATTAGCTATGATGTCATCAACTTGAGGGGTTGTGTCAGGATGGCATCAGAAGAGAACCTATGGCTGAAGATCAAGGGTCATTGGTAGCTGCGTATGTGATTGTGAATGTTTGTGCAAATACACAGATTTATGTGGGATATTGCATTGGTACATGGACGCACAGGCATGCATGCCTAATCCCAGCCTTAGCACCAGAAGGGCTTTTTTAAGGAGCAGAACTGAGTTAGAAATTTGCTAGAAGATCTTCAGATGCTTTCTTGCAACTGAACTTAAACTTGTTTCTGAGATCTGCCTGTTGCTGATCTGGCCTTCCCTTTGACTTTGTCTCTATTCTGCACTTAAATTATTGACTCTGCTTGTCTTTGGACCTGCTGATACTTGCTTACTCATTGCTGCCCCAACATGTTCCCAACTCTGTCTTTGTTTGCCTGCCCATCACTAAACTGTCTGTTCTTGTACTTTTTCTGCTTTACCTTTCCACGACTTGTATCTGCTGAGTAAGCAGTCTGACCTCAGCCTCTCTTCTGATAACAAATTTGCCTTCTACCCTGCTTGCTGTCTGTCTTCACAGCTGCTGACGACTGCTTATTTTAGACTATGCTTACTGCCTGCCAGGTGTTCCTGTCTGCCTGCCAGTTGTCATTCCAGTCTGCTTCACTGAGATGAAATGGATGCTCTTGGCTGCTCCATTGCCATTCACATGACTGAATGCAGGTGTAAGGATCACATGCTACTGCTAATGGGGCTTAGGGTACAGACATTTAAGGTGCCCATACACTGCACGATTCTCGTAGAGAATCGCAGGAAATCCCGCGATTGTACGATAATCGTGCAGTAGAACCGAAGGGGTCCTGGGTCCGAAGCTAGCCGAAGGATCGGCCGAAGCTTGTTCCCTGAGGGGGTGTCCTGAAGAGAGTAGTGCTGATGTCATGATACCAATGCCAATCTCTGCCTCTCCAAAGAATGTCCATTGATTGAGAATATCAGGAGATGAAGAGGAACCAACACATTATGTGACCAAAAGACATCAAAACAAAAGACGTGCCCACTTGATGGAGAGCAAGGAACTAAGAACTGAGCTCAGAATTGAGCTTTAATGTGGCTAGGTTCAGAATGCATTCAGTATTACATGCAACATTAACCTGAAAATCTAGGCACAGAAAGATTTGGTGTGCATGTGTGACATAATGTAATCTACTACATATCACAGTAATCTCTTCTTTTACAAAGATTAAAAAAAAAACAGCATTTTATACTAACTAAAACAAAAATCCACCTATCTGTTTCACAACTCAGATACCCAACAATCCTTTCAGGTAGGAATCTTGTTCATTGTAGTGCCACTGCCATTTATACACCAACAAGGTTTTGGCTGGTCTGTTTCCTTAACCAAACTAGCCATTAATTGTATCAAACTAATTTTCTCCACAAATTAAAAATGTTTGAAAATCCGGTGAAGCAAAATTGGTAATATGGACCATGAACTGCTACAGTTATAGCTGTCTTCCAGGCAAGCAATACCCTAATTCAAAAGAAAGTTCAACCTTCTAACCTTTATCATAGCAGCAGTGCCTGTTGAAGATATTTGTCACTCTAAGCCAGCTATCTGTGCACTGGGTGACCAATCTCCTCAACAAACCCCATCCAGCTTTAATCAGTCTACAGATCTGCTGTGTGCACCCACATGAGTTAGGGTACCCTGAAGACTTATCTACCCTGCCCCTCTGGAAGAAAAAGACCTGTAATCCAGGCAAAGACATCGATTAAAATAAGTTTTTTCCTCTACAAGAGAAAGGTTAGAAATAAATAAAGGTGGAGGTAAGATGTACAATTAATGAGCATAGTAAGAAAAGGTGATAGAGTGGGGCAACAAAAGGCTAAAGGGTTCAGGGTCATGGTTATTTAATTTTTCAAATATGTATCTTTCTTAATTTCTAATATATGAATTCACTCTTTGGGGTTGATTTACTAACCTTTTAAACACACCACGAACGTGTATACACCTCTGTAGTGTGTTCCCTCCCAGCATGGTCTATGGGAGGAATCGAAACACCTTTGTAGTGTGTACACACCCAGCAGGTGTGTTGTTCAAAGCCCTGCAATGAATTGCAAGGTAATGTGGTGTAAATTAGCTCTATGTTATGTTGCTTGCGTTGATGAATGCAGGAATGTAAATGCATGAGCTAACCATTTTTGTCTAAACTGTGAAGCAGCATTATATATGCATCATGTGCATGATTTTTCCATATATGGCATTAGTGGAAATATGCTTTTAGAGACTTTTTGGTTGATAAATACGTTTTGCTGTGTGAAAATCACACACACCTGGTGTGTGTGTGTGTTTAGGTTAGTAAATCAACCCCTTTGAGTCATGATCAACAGGTTTGTGCTTCTACAGTAGCAAAAGCATGAAAGGTAAGTAAAAACAGTCTATCACTACGTAAAAGACTTGTACCGTATATACTCGAGTATAAGCCGTCCCGAATATAAGCCGAGGTACCTAATTTTAGCCAAAAAAACTGGGAAAAAGTATTGACCCGAATATAAGCCGAGGGTGGGAAATGAGGCAGCTACTGGTAGATAGATACCAATAAAATTACATTAATATTTATTTAAAAGAAAAATAACCTAGCTCTGTAAGTGGAAAAGGGGGTACAGGGCTACATATCATGTACTACGGATCATTTAACCCATTCATATTAGCAGAGGATAATTGTAAATCTATTGTTCAGTGCACTCTATATGTAGTATATAGTACATGTACATATAGAGTGCCTGCAACAATACATTTACAATGATCCTCTGCTAACATGAATGGGTTAAATGATCCATAGTACAGGGCTACATACAGATCATTTAATACATTCATGTTAGTATAATTGTAAATGTATTGTCTGCACTGTATTAGCAGTATATACTCTATATAGAGTATATACTGCTAATACAGTGCAGACAATACATTTACAATTATACTAACATGAATGTATTAAATGATCTGTATGTAGCCCTGTACTATGGATCATTTAACCCATTCATGTTAGCAGAGGATCATTGTAAATGTATTGTTGCAGGCACTCTATATGTACATGTACTATATACTACATATAGAGTGCACTGAACAATAGATTTACAATTATCCTCTGCTAATATGAATGGGTTAAATGATCCGTAGTACATGATATGTAGCCCTGTACCCCCTTTTCCACTTACAGAGCTAGGTTATTTTTCTTTTAAATAAATATTAATGTAATTTTATTGGTATCTATCTACCAGTAGCTGCCTCATTTCCCACCCTCGGCTTATATTCGGGTCAATACTTTTTCCCAGTTTTTTTGGCTAAAATTAGGTACCTCGGCTTATATTCGGGACGGCTTATACTCGAGTATATACGGTATATTGCTTCCTGTTTTTACTGCTGGATACACTGTTTAGTATGCAGCAAAATGACAACAAACTAAGGGGGTTGTTAGATAGAAAAAACTGTGCTAGGAATCAAAACACTCTAAGAGCAGCTGTGCTTAATAGGTGAGTACACCCAAAATAGGTAAAAAGGTTTTATATATATCAACAAAGCGCTAATTGTTCATCTGAAATATGGTGAGCAATAGGAGTCGGTGAGTGTGCCAGATCTTATCTTTGAGCACGGTGGAGACTGGAGAGCACTGATTCACTAATTGTTCATGCATTCACGGACGTGGTGTTGATGATATATGTGAGGCTATATCTTTAGGAATATAATTTTTGAGTTTGAAGCGCAGTGCTATTTTCTTTTTTCCTAAACTAAGGGGGATATTCACTAAAGAGCCAAAAGATCAGGCTGATCCTTCGGCTCTCTTTGGATGACGGAGCCCTTCGGTTCAGTCGATTCACAATAGCCCGTACAGCAGCCGAAGGCTCGACTGAGCCGAAGTGGCAGCCAAAGAGTGGAGAAAGGTCAGCCAAAGCCCACCGATCTTCATGCAAATGACAGCTGGGCAAAGCCAGTCGTGATCTCACACCTCACTCCGCCCAGTTGTTATGACAGATCATCGTCCCCAAATGACCTGGGGATGCTGATCTGTCATTAAACAACAGCTGGGCGGAGCCAGCCATGACATCATGGACTGCTCTGCTCAGTTGTTATTCATTGGCTAGAAGACTCTTGCAGGTGCTGATCAATAGGAAACAGTTTGGCAGAGCTAGCTGTTACTGCTAGCTGCACCCAATTGTTTTACTTTTACCGGCATCTTTGCCAGTGTTTTTTTATTGTTTTTTTCTTCTTTTTTCTACACTATTTTAAAATTTCTTATTTATTTACATTTTTAAAACTATTTTTCAACTCTTTTTTTTTTCATTTCATTCTTTTTATATTCTGCTCAGTGCTTAGAGGTACCAAGCAGAATAGCCACGGCCCGTTGGCGGCATTTGACTATTCACTCACTGCTGTTCGGCCCCTATGAGAATAGGCAGAGGCAGCAAGTGAGCTTCAGGAGCTTCAGCTCAGCTGAACCAGATGCACTTCAGCTCAGCCAAACATGTAGAGCAGAGCATTCAGAGCATGTTTCAGCTGACCGAAGGCAGCCGATGTTCAGCTGATTTCAGCCGAAGTACGGCTGAAATCATCCATACTGAGCCAGAGTGAATAGCTGAACGTCAGTCAGCTCACTTCACTTCGGCTGGGATATTCACTCGGCTCCCTTTGGCAGCTTTGTGATTAACCCCCTAAGCATTAGTGGAAGAATACAAGCACACCTTTTAAAAAAAATCATGATCATGCAGATTAGCTTACAGTAATACACAACAAATAAGACAACATGCAAAAGCGTGTTAAAACTGTTTCTATAAGAAAACATTTTAACAGACCTGTGGAGGGAACTGTCTCCCTTTTTGGTCAGGGTACATGACATAAGCAGCTTGCGTGTAGGCATAGCTTTTGAAGCGAGGTTTAGGAGGAGGTGAAGGAGTGTGCACACGTCCCTGTGCTACATTGACAGTGATCTGAGAAGAAGAGAGGACAACGTCACATACAGATGGTTAATTTTTTTAGTGCTAAAACATCTCACATGTCACCAGTAAACATATAGTATTTATTTTAAGAAAGTATGAATTTGCTATGTTGTTTATGGCTCTTAAAGGTATTTTCCATTTAAGTGTAAATTCCTCTAAAAAAGAAGTGTGATCTAACTCTCACAGCCTTGAAAACAACTGTAACACCTTTCTAACAGCTGCTGTTTGCACCCCCTGGTAAGCTATATGTGATGATAATGAGATTTGAGCCTATTAATGTTAATATAACATTTTCTTCTCCCCCAGCTTAGAACAAATGCAGTCTATAAAAAAGTGTGGGTGACCTTAGGATGCCCTCGCTTTGCCAGGTCTCTTCAAATTCTAAAAAAACAGAGATCTTTTAATCTGGCCTGTGTTCTCTATTTCCCCAGCACTAATTACCTAAGTGAGGTGTCCATTTAGGCCTTTAACCTTTCTATGATGGCCCCTAATGAGTCAACCAAGCATTTGATAGGTTTAGATAAAAACCAGAGGGCACAGTAAGGATAGTGACCCAAGTGACCTTGCATTCACATTCAGTCATAAAACTGTTACATTATCAACCCAATTTCATAATTTGGAAATGGAAAGTGATATTGCAAATCTAATGCCACAAATAGCTGTGTCCCATCAAGAAAAAACTCACGCATACCAAGAATGAAAAGATTATGGTAGTCTGAGCTGTAACAAGCTGTATTACACCTCCTTAGCTAGCCATAGGCCATACACCTACCAAATTTAGACTTGATTAGAAGCCAATTTAATGAAACCCAATAATTCATAGCCTATTTAGGATTAGCTCATGATCGTAGAGAAATATGATTATTAAAATGAACATTAACCATTTGGGAGGAGCAGAGGAGGACATCATGCTCCCCTCCCCAGCCCTGCCTTGAGCACTGTAACACCCCCTAGAGGGCTTACAAAAAGATGCTGCAGAGACAGCTTGAGAGGCTCTTGTTTTAACATCAAGAAGAGGGACTCCTGCAACATCAAGAAGTTCATAACATCCCAGAAGAGTTCCCCTTCAATATCTGGAAATCATCTATGCATGCCTTGCTTGTAGAAGAGCCATTCAGACCCATCTTTTGTTTATTGAACTGGACTTTGTCAGAGCTCATAAACCCAGGACTGTATTATTGTAATACTGTAAAGTATTCTTTTTATTCATTTTTATTTTACTGTTATATATTTGTCTCTCCTTATTAATGTATTTTTCTGTATATTTTTCTGCGTTTCTTTTATTAAAGGCTAATCTTAAAAATCCTTAAACTTATCTCTACACTCTAAATAGGAACTTAAAGTATCCTTGCCTCTTTGAACAGCAGTACTCTATAGTGAAACCTGTCATATTCCTGTCAGAGAGGACAGTGGTAGCATAGGCTTTATTTAACATTATTGAATTGTCACAGCACTTGCTGAGATCAGTCCGTGCGTCCGTTAAACACATGTGGTGGCAGCGATAACTTATGTGAGTAATAGGTTAACTGTGGAGTTAACCAACCCTAGTGATGATCGCTCTTGGTCTGTTGGCCTGAGATTGTGGTCCCATGAGCTTGGAAATCTCTGTGCAGGGTGAGGCTGAGAGTGATCGCTACGTCCTTATGAAGTCTTGCTCGGTTCAGAACTGCATATGGTCACAGGTGATTGACGTGCATTGCATCCGTCACACTATGACTGCTTTCAAGAGAAACTCTTATTAGTGTCTGCTAGGGATGATTGAATCTGCCAGGGTTTGGTTTGCAAACAGTTTCATACTTCTTGCTCAAAGTTTAAATTGCACAAAAGCCATTAAAGCCTGAGGTGTGAGGAGTGAATCTTGTTTTTTGCTTATGTTTTTTGTGAATTACAATGGGAAGTGCATTAGTGACCATAACACGGCCCTGTGAATTGTTCCATTAAAGCACTTTGTGACCTTCTGTAACATAAGGGCCAACATTTTCAGTGTGTTGCTTTCTAGAAGGTAGTGGTTTATGTAGAACTAGGTGCAGCATTAACAAAGGAAACCACCTATGAGAAGTTATATTATATGTACAGTGATTTCTATGCACAAGCGTCAACAGACACTTATATTATATGATCTTTATTATGTTTAGGGACTGTTTTGTGTTTTCACATTGCATTAGCATTGTGTACATATTTAATTTCACTATTTTATGTATGTTTGTTTATATGTTCACATTTGTGAATCACTGTTTACATTTGATGTGTGCTTTCCAGCTTATAGCAATTGTGGCTTCTATTCCTAAAGACCTAGTTTTTAACAACCATACATTTAACCAGTTGAAGTCCGCGGTGTTAAACCCCCTCCCCATCCAGGCCATTTTTCAGTATTCAGCGCTGCAGTACTTTGACTGACATTTATTCCATCATGCAACGCTGTACTGAAATGCATTTTTTACCATTTTTTAGGGACGCATAGAGCTTTCTTTTGGTGGTATGTAATCACCACAGGGATTTTTATTTTTTACTATATTAAGGAAAAAATTACCGAAATTGTAAAAAGAAAACAGTTTCCCCTATATTAAATGATAAAATATTTATTATTACCCAATTTTTGGGTAAAATATAAAAGACAGGGTCACATCGGGTAAAAAGACACCAAACATGTCAAGCCTTAAAATTGTGCACGCGTGCAAAACCTTAAAAAACTATAATACACAAAATTGGCCATAGGTGACGCTTTATAAGCTTTTACCGCTCATCAGTTTAGTGTTATCAGTGATTGATGGCCCTAAAATGATTTCTCTCACTGCGACATTCGTGGCGATATGTAACGTATGTAGCGCAATTGTCGTTTCCGCGCGCTGGTGCACCGGACCCCTAATGTCACCTGGGGACCCCAAAAGAAGCTGATGAAGCAGAGATCTGCTTCATCAGCTTCTTTTCTCTGGCTCTAGCAGCCAGATGACTGACAGGTGAATGCGGAAGTGATGTAATACACATCACTTCTGCATTCACAGAACGGAGGGAGATCAGCGAGGAGCTGAGCTCCCTCCCTCTTCCTCCTGACGCCCTCCCGAGCCGGTCCTGGGCCGCAGATGGGGCAGCGGATCCCGGGATTGAATGTGAGGGGTTAGGAGGGGGGCGGTGGCAGCAGTCGAGGGGGGTCACGCAGCCAGCAGATATACACGATCGGCAGGCTATAGAGCCGCCGATCGCGTATATGTTAAACAGCCTGTAACGGTTTTTTCTGCCCGTGCATGCGCTAGGAGGCGCGCAAGCAGAAAAAAATGCCGTCTGGAGACGGCAATCCGCCAATGCGACTGGTTAAGGAAGCAGTGCTGTAAACCAGGCATTGAAGATGCTGCTGATCTGGTCAGGCAAGATCATGTGTAGTAATGGGTCAAATCTGCTGGTAGCTCTTGGCTGAGGCAAGCACAGATTCCTTGCTTGACTCAAGTAGTAAACCTGGTAGTTCAATGCTCCCTAAGTTACTACCAAGGCTTGGTGGATGCTGGATAAGCCCAGCAAACTGTGCACATTTGGCAGAAGTGCAGTGCTGAAGCGACTCTCCCAGCAAAAGGGTTCTGTCATGGAGTACTTGTGCACAGATGTTAGGTGAGGCTTGTGCCTTTTCTACCTTCAGGATGTGTGTGCCAATTTAACTCCCTTTGAGTAAGTGAGAAAAAGAGTCCGTCATTATTAAGCAGTCATCAGTGACACCGTCCCTATTGTCTGCCGGCTGGAACACATGCTCTTTGGGCTTAGGGACAGTGCTGACTTCACAGGGCCAGGAGGACTAAGTGGAGGAGGAAGGGATGCCATTTTCATAATACCAGCGGAGCAGTTCCAAACTCCGCAGGGGGAGTAGATATGGTTAAAAAAGGCAAGAGCACATAGGCCAGACCTGCTCTCTTTCATGTATTTCCAGCCCTGTAATCCAGATGAAGGAAGAGAAGGAGGAGGAGGGTGTTGGTACAGGAGAAGAGAAGGAAGGGGCATTCCATCCATAGTAAACCCTAGCAATTGCTGTTGGGAGTGGGAGCAGCCAGAGAACACTACAGGAATCAGAATCTTTAGCAAAGTAGTAAGAGTTCCTTCATGTTCCTGTGCTTTTAGAACTATCCCGCATAGATAAAATCAAAAACTATGACCATTACAGGGTGGCCATCCACTTGACTCGAATTCCAAAATGGCAGGATTCATCCCAATAAGGAGAAGGAAGCTAAAATGCATCACTGCAACAAAGTTCTATCAAAGTCCTTGTGCAGAGCCTTTGCCGATTGCAGCAAACATGTGTCTGCTACCTGCTTCACAACCCATGGCAGCAGGGAGCAGCAGTAACACAGCCACCGGTCACAACAGCCAAGCCTAGCCCCAGATAGCACTCACAAGCACCAATTGCCCTTGGGTATATCACCTCCAGCTCGGATACCTACAACATCAGAAGTAAAGACAACATAGACTACTGGGTGTCCAATATGGATCAGTGGCTGAAACATGCATAATGTGTGCTAAAGCTGCTTACCCACCCTGCTGCAAGTGTTATTAGAAAGGGAGTTAATCACAGCTGGTGGGATGGTGCATGATAGGTGCATCTGCTTGTCCGCAGACTGCCTGACCTTTATCAAAATGAACCAGGCATAGATCTCACATTCCAACAATTAGCTCAAGAATGCTGCTGAGCCTTTCTGACAGAGCATGTATTATTAAAATAAGGAACACACACATTTGATGCAGTCTGAAACCCAGAAATTTGCCCTGTTTGGCCAAATTGCCCGTGAATCCAATAGAGGTGTATTTGAACACTAATGTTCATCACAAGGAAAGTTGTGCAGAGCAACAAATCTTTCCTGCTGCCAAGTCGTTTTTTGCCTCTCACAGCAGCTTTAGCTACTAAAAAGTTATTTATACTAATACAAATAAATGTATTAGGTTACCTAGTAAGTTAGTTATTAGGTTAGTGTTTTAATTGAGGCAGCTTATTAAAAAGTAGTAGATTAATTATTTAATATTGCTTTTAGGATGGCTCAATCATACGTGAATGATGCTGGAACTAAAACACTGTGTAGGAAAATATACACACTTATTTATTAACCATATAGCACAGATGTTTGTATCCAAATCTATTTAAATGTAGGGTTTATTTATTCAAGATAAATAGAATAAAAAAAATCAAATTCCAAATGATATTAGTTATGCAAAATATGTTATGCAATAAACAAAATAAAACTACATTTTTCCTTTTTAACCTTTTCTCTACTTATTATAGCAAATATATTCAGGGTATTTTAAAAAATCTGAAATCAACTGGTGCATATCAAAGATTTAGAATTTGGTCTGGTAATGTACAGTAGGTATTGATGACCTTTGGTAAGGGGTGATCTATAATACAGATGCCATATGTACACGTATACATACATACATACACACTGTATATATATATTTTTTGCTTAACTGTGCAATAGGATACAGTAAAATAAATGTTATAGCATGTAATAATGGGTTTCATAAATTTAAACAGATGAAAAAAGAAATATGGGAGCTGCCTTTGCTGAATTGTTTCTAATGACTCAGGCTCAGGGCTGCCATCCTGACCCTGCCTTCAATACCTAGTTAATAACTGACCAGGAAGACACATAAATGAAAGGATTTAAGACTTTTTAGATGCAATCACTGCATGTATTTAGTGAGTAAGGATGATATCCCATAGGGTATGTGTCTGCTAATCAGCAATAGCAACTATTATGTTAAATACCCATAAAATACTTAGACAAGTGTGATATAGTTAGTGAAAAAAATCTACCCTTCATATGAAAGGTTACACATGAAGTGTAATTTAGATTTTACCATCAGGGCTAGATTCAGTACATTAGAGTAAATGGGAGAGACACTTTAAATAACCCAATTTAACAAAATTGGTTTTCTAACCAAGATGGTCACAAACTAAGCATAACATTACCACAGCAGATTTTGATGTTCTGTGGATCCTGCCAGTAGATCTGCTATTTTTCAATTTTCTTTAACAGGTCAATCTGTCTAGCAAAAGTGGCAGTTACAGGAGTTATGAAGTAGGACTACATTGTATTTGTAATTTGTTTTTGTTTTGCAGATAGCTACACTTTAACCAGGTTATAGAAAATAGACATATTAAATAAACATACATAAAACAATGGCTTATACACTTTTCACATTCTCTTCAGATTAAAATCTGTACTTGGTAAAAAAAGGGACAAAAATGAGCCAAAAAGGGTTAAAAAGCTTGTTGACAGCCAAATTCTCAGCTAGTAATGAAAAGAAGACATGTGCACATTATGATTTACTAAGTACACCAGTGTTGGATCTGTAGTTGAAAAATGAAGACTATTTTAGAAGGAAGTTAAAACAAGGGAGTAGAGCCATACAAAATATATTCAATTTCAATCTCTTACAGTGTGTTTCTATTTCTTAAATAGTATTGGTGATACTTTAATAGTTTTAAACAAAATAACCATACTTGCTGAGAGAAATGACGCTGGTCAAAATGTCTAATATGCTCTTCTGGAGTAACTATTTGGCGAGGTAAGGTGTCCAATTCCCGTAGGGATTCAATGGAGACTTTTTGTGGCAGGACTTGGAAGAGTGATGTAACATACATTAAAATGGACTTCTTGTCAGGATGAGCTGTTGCAATATCTGGGAATGAGAAAAAAAACATAGATGTATATCATTCACTGTAAATTATGCACATTAAATGTACCTAAAATCAGCTTCCAACCATGCAGGCAGACTAATGAGCAGAAGCCCGGCCTTTCCAGCACCCTCCTGGGACTAATTAGAGCTCTATAATAATCTGTAAACTTTTCTGTAGATGTAGCATACCAATGAGTAAAATCTCAGTGTAAAAATGGTAATGATTTCTCATTTAAGCACATTTCAAATCATCATACACTTTATTGTACAATAGAAAGACATAATTCAAGATTTATTGGACTGCAGTATTCAGAGAGAACAAAACTATGCATTAACATTTATGTGGTACTGAGCTCAACTCAGTATACCTATTACCAATATGCATAGATTTTAGAAATAAAACACTAAGCAGACTTATATTGTTGCTTTGCTTTTCTAGGTAGCTTAAGAATGATGCATATTATACATTACAGTCTAGTTGAATGTGATTAACTACCACTAGCTATCTATAGGTATTATATAGTCAAAAAGTTAAAAGGTTACACAAGAGGTAGTATCCATATCTAGTTGGTTGGTTTAAAAACTAACTGTTATAAAGCTGAACTTTGGGCACATAAACTTTCATCAAATATATTCCTCAATAGCGGCAAGGGATATAAATCCATTTTGTGTGTACCACATGCCTTTGTAAACTCAGATATAACCAAAAAAGTTAAGTTTTCAAGACCTATATATACAAACACAAACAGTATCTGATTATGTAAACAAGGAATGCTATTGGGTACTTTCCAGAGATGATGAGAGGGGAATGGAACTTTAAGCCAGTGCATTTGAACCTTCTGACAAGCAAAGTGTGGGGCAGCCTATGATCAGGCCCATTGACATGTGTATAGAGGGTATTCACAAAGCTGCTAAAGGCAGTCGAGTGAATAACCAAGCCGAAGTGAACAGAGCCGAACGCTGTTCGGCTATTCACTATAGCTCAGTACATCAGCTTGCTTCGGCTGGCTTCAGTTCAGCCGAATATGCTCAGCATGTTTGACTGAGCCGAAGTGAAGAACATGTTCAGCATCTGGATCGGCTGAGCCGAACCTCCGGCAGGCTAGTGTGAAGGGAGTGTGAGGAAATATCCATTCAGGACTCCAAACATGTCTAGCTTTGTATATGCAAGCTGAGGCCTTCATTTATAGTAGTAAGATAACATTGTTTTTAATGGCAGTTCATTTCATAGGAAGTGACATAAACACTGCATTTCTAGCAAGATCAACAGGTTTTCTATACTTGCTGAATATGTTCTTAGCATGAAAAAAGAAAATCAATTCAGCTACCACATCTAGGAACTGGTAAGCTGCAATATATTAAATTATTTTGGTTTAAGGTTTAGATATGCTTTAACAGCTTGTTTAACTAAAAGCAAATAACACATTTATAAACATTTGATAGAAGCTCAGCTAACACATGGAAAACATGGAAAAAAAACACAACAATGACAATATCCCAACTAGCACATTTTATGCAGCTTGGATAGGGTTTCCTTTTAGACACTTTTCATAATGGGAACTGTACACAACATATGATTTCAAGTAGTAATTAACAAAATGTATATACTTACAACTGGTTTGCTACTCATGCTGTGAAGGAAGTTTTTCATATAGTTAAGAAAATAATTAACAATATTTTGGTTTTACATTATTTCCTACTTCAAACTAGCAAGCAGATAAGCTTAATTAAATGTCTTAGTAAATATTCTGAACAACAACTTTACTATGCTGGAAAGGCCATATATATCTGGCAGCTGTTATTCCTGCCTACTTCAAGCTGTGGCAAGTTAAAAGAAAAAAAATTATTGTTAGTGTTGCATTTTTTTACCCTTCATAATAATGCTGTGATGCAAATTTTATTTTTATTGGAGTAGAGTAAATACACAAACTAATTATACATAAAACTAGTGGTAACAATTTTAAAGGGCCCATGTTCCAATATATTTAATATATAAAACTTGACAAGACTTTACTTTTCTGCCTTTGCATAGTCTGTTTGACACAATTAATACTGGCCAAATCTTCTCAGTGTCATTTAAGTGTTACATATCGTTTGCCTTCTGTACTGGAAAAACTTCAGTTCAATCCTAAACAAACTATAGGTTTCCAGGCCAATATGCGGATTGATCTTTGAAAAAAACTCTGGGGTGGATTTACTAAAGGCAAATAGATGGTTTGCTTTGCAGGATAACTTTCACTTTTCAAGGTAAATTTCCCTTGGCTTAGTGAATGTGCAAATAAAAATTTACTGTGCAGAGAATACCCAATCACGTGCAAGGAAATAAAAAAAAATATTTCTGCTTGCACATGATTGGATGATGGAAGACAGCAAAGCTTCCCCCTCATTTCTTGTCTTAGTAAAGTGTAGTAAATCAACCCTATCATGTTGGCAACACTGCTTTTATTTTTTTTATCTTCCTTTTTTTAGTTTTGCAGTTGCTGCTAATACAAGGAGTGCCTTTGTGAAAGACACTGAGTTTTGACTATAAAAGTTTACAGAGATTTCTCATTGATCATTGTTAGGGTGATACCTTTTCTCCAAAGTAAAGGGAGCAATCTATTCAGTGCCTGTACTGACAATATGGTTATTAAGTCACTGTGGCATGCTATTCCCCACAGTGTTCCATCTCTATCCGCTCTCATTATTACTGTGAGTTTTACTCATCTATGACTGTCACTTGCTTGAGAACAAAGGTACACATACATTTGGTTTGCAGTTATGTCAGCAATGGCATTCATTATTCCATAGAATAATGGATAGGTGATAAGATCTTTTCTTACCAACATCATGCATGCTACAATACATTTTGAGGAATTGTGTGATTTGTTGATAGTAATGGAAACTCTGCATGTACATACAGTATGGCTAAATGGTAAACAAAAAATGTAAAAAATTATGAGTAAGGCAAAAGTAAAATTATCCTCTGTGTATGAAGTAGAGCATGATTGGGCTAAAAACTATAGATTTTTTTAACTTGAAGAGAATATGTAGTAGTTTGCATGTTTTTTTTCATCAGACTGAAAGTAAATCAGAGCAATATGTGTAAGTGATTTAACAACTTTCTTTTTAGGTATAGTTTGTGATTACAATTGTAGATGGAACATATATATTTTCTCATTAAATGCAGATGCTCTCCCTTTTTTTCAAGTGCTACAAAATGGCTTACTTTATTGGTTCTTCACACAGTACATAGCTATGGGTCTGCCAACACACTGAAATAGCCACTACACTGCTGGCTGCGATCCTTCAGGTCACCTACTGTGTGAGCTCAGCACAGTGGCCATTCATAGAACACCTAGAGGATTATTCACAAAAAGAGCTGAAGGATCCAGCCATAGCTTCGGCTGATCCTTCGGCTTGCTTTGGCCACCTGAGCCCTTCGGTTCAGTCGAACCAAAGGGCTGATGGACAGGCTATTCACAATATCCTGTACAGCAGCCAAAGGCAGCTGAACGCATATGCTTCAGCTCGGCTAAGCCGTAGTGACACCCGAAGCGGGGGGGGGGAAAGGTCAGCCGAAGCCGACCTTTCTCCCCACAAAAGACATCAGCTGGGCGGAGCCAGCCGTAATGTCTCACTGGCTCCGCCCAGTTGTCCTTCAATGATAGTTCAGTATCCTCGAGGACACTGGGCTGTCATTACATGCAAACAGCTGAGCGGAGAATGAAAAATTTGGATTGCAGTCCCCTGATGTGGTGTGGATTTTTTACGCTAGGTGTGTGGCTTCTTGGAATGCGGTCCCCCCCATCGGTATGGGGACAAGGTGCTTTTCCAGGGGCGGCCCTAGAAAAGCACCCACCCAGCACCAAGGGCATGTGGCCTGCTATGGAAGGGATGGGGGGTGCTTGTTCCCCCCTTTCCTGCTCTGCCAGGCCTGTGCTCGGATCAAGGGTCTGGTTGGGAATTTTAGAGGGGGCCCCATGTCTTTTTCCCCCACTTTTGGGATGGGGTTCCTCTTAAAATTCCTACCAGACCTAAAAGTTCTGGTATGACTTTTGGAGGGAACCCCAAGATTGTTTTTGTTTTGTTTGTAACTTTCCTACCAGATCTAAAGGGTCTGGTATGTTTTGGGAGGGGGACCCCACAGTGTTTATTTTTTTCTTTCCTTTAAAATTTTTATATTTTCTATACTTTTTTTACATTTATTTAAATAATTTTGAAACAATTTTGTTAATTTGTTTACATTTTTTCCTATTCTGTTTGCTACCTCAGAGGTAAGCTAGTAGAATAGCCGAGCCGAATGTCGGCTATTCACTCACACCAGCAGATATGTATTGAAGCGCAGCTGCTGGTGTAGATCGGCCCTAAGTGTATACAGTTATGGAGGACCACCATTGCAAACAAGAAAAAATAACCCTTAAAGCTTGGTTTAATTTTAAGCAGCATGCTTAGTGGTTAGCACTTCTGCCTCGGTTCAAATCCCAATAAGGACAGTACACTACACTAAGGGGTTTGAATGTTCTCCCTGCGCTTGTAATCAGTAAATAAATAATAAAGTTAATCACCTAATACTGTATACTATATGTTATAAAAAAGCTCATCTTTGCTCCAAGTTGCTTTTGATTACTTTTTTATTGATGCATTTGATGAAATAACATATAATCTGCTGATGTATTGCATAATGGGAGGAATCTTTGAAAGACAAATAACAGCACTGCTCTTCCTCTCATTGCAAACTGGAAGGAGAAAGATGCAGGAGAGAGTGGGGTGTGTAATCATGGGCAGCAGGTGTCAGGACCTAGGTAGAGGAGGTCAAACCCAGCTAAAAGGAAGAAAATGCCACCGGTGGTCTGTAGTGAAGACCGGGTAGAGGAAGATGGCTATGACAAACCTACTAAGAGAGTTAGCTGGGTTTTTAGAATATCACTCTCAAATGTAGAAACTTCATTACAATGCTTTTGCATAAACCAACTTACTATATATATTAGATCAAAAGGCACTTAGCATTTAGTGTCACTTCT